GCTCAGGAGATCAAGAACCTGCCAAGCCCCGGAGAGCAGAATATAGAGAAGCCAGACTCCTGTGTCCAGGGCGCACAGGAAGTAGAGGCAGGCGGTCTAGGAGTTGCATTGTGGGTAAGCAGCCCCACCTGGGCCAGAGTTTGGCCCCAGATTTCCTCTTCCAGAAGATGTGCTGTGCTTCTCTGAGAATAAAATGACCCTCCCCAGTGGCAGTTGACCGCAGGGTCCCTCTTAGTCCTGCCCTTGTCTGAGCCTCCAGTCCAAAGTACATCTGTCCCTTCCAAGGGGAACCACAACCCCTACCCTTGTTAGGAGAGAGGGAAATAAATAGGGGAGAAATTCGCCAAGGTTCCTCCATCCAGGTGAGTTAACGGCTCTCAAAATGGCTTTGATTTCCAAGAATTAATTAGCATGCATCCTGATAGAATTCCTGCTGTGGGTGGAACTGGTTTAGATAGCAATCGCTTATGGGAAGGAGGAGAGCTCTGATGGGGGGTGCAGCCTGAGAGAGGACCACTGTAGCGTTTGCCAGGCAGAGTAACCAGGATATATGCACTGAGCACATAGAAGAGCCTTTGCAGGATCCTATCGGGTGGGTTTTGTTGTGTTGCTTTGTTTTGATTTGCTCGGTTACTCTAGGACAGAAAACAGCTAAGACTTGCAACATTAGATGTTGGTTCCATATTGAATCAGCAGATCTTGAACCATGTGAGTCACAAGAGCTGATTCCACCAGCAGCACATGGTCCACAGCCCTCTGCGGGACTGCTGGGATACTGCAAAGTCAACCCTAGGCTGGCCAACCGAAGCAGGTATCCCCACAGTGCAGGGGGACTCTGCTGTGCTGCAAGGGCCCAGCAGATCGCAGCTCAGGGTGTCAGGGTCTGGGTGGAAGGAGGTGATCCAGTGAAAATTCCCGAGGTACAAATCTACTCTTATCCTGGACCTCAAAGGCCATTACCAAAGCCAAGGTTGTAAGATGGCATTTTTCCATAGAAGTAAGATCTGTGGTTGGGTGAGTGTATGTAGATGATGCCCCAATACCCCTTGCAGTTTAGCCTGACTTTATAATACAGTTATAGCCACTAGGATAAAAACAGTGTATGAAGCTTCCCAGAAGTGGTTTATAAAGCAATATTGGGTCCTTTTCCCTGCCCCTCTCCCCACCCTTTTTTCTTCCCACTGGCTCTAATGTAGATATAATGGCTGGTGCTCCAGCAGCCACCTGGGGCAGTGAGATAATCCACAGAGGCTGCACATAGTAGTTTAAGATTAAAGGGGCTGGGATTTAAATCCAGTGGCACCATGCCTGCCTTGTAAGCATGAGGTGTCCTGAGTTCGATCCCCGATACTGAAACAACAAAAACAAAACAAAACAAAAATATTAAAGTCGCCCAGGTTCCTGCAGCCATGGAGTGTCATTGTAACCATGGACTGACCACCTCTGAATGTCTAGAAGATAAGACATAGATAAAACTTCTACCCGGTCTCTGCAGTTGCACACAACTAAGTCTGAGTGTGACACATCTTCTTAAAAGTTTGTGCACACTTTTTCATTTCCTCTTTCATTCCTATGTTTCCTTTTCTAACAATTCTAATTGCTCAGTTCATGGAAATGTCTTAAGTGCTTTACGTGAATTAATTCATTTGTCATGACTATCTTTGAAGCAGACGCTTCTTTCTCAAGGACATCTACTCTAAGAATGCTTGCAATAGCAACAGAGGTGAAACAACCCATATCGGCAGGTATCTGACTTAAACGATTGTGTGTCTCTGTGTTTGTATTAGAAGAATCACACAGCTTGATCTGCTGTATACTGACATGGAAAAATGTCCTCAAAGCTCCATATAATACTGTGAACAGAGGTCCCTGTAAGAGCCTTAGGTAACTAGTTGAAGAAAACTCACCCATGTTTTACTTCTCTTCCTGAGAAAGTGTGAAATGTAACATTTTGATAGATTTTTTTACTGCTTTTGTTCTAGGACGAGTCTAGAGTCATCCAAAAACCCAGTCAGAATTTGCATCCCACAAGTTTCTGGCTAACTGAGCCGCCTCTACCCGCTCAGGATTCAGTCAGTCAAGATCAAACAAAATCCTTTGAGTTCACATCGTTGTGATACATGGCCAGGGAGATTTAAAAATTAAACAAAAAGTAAAGGCCCAAATTTACCCGTGTCCTCCCAAACCTATGCACTCTTAACATTAAAGAATCCTATAGACAGACGAAGCCTAGGCTTAAATGCCCAAGACTGACTTTGTGTCTCACATCTTAAAGAAAATCGCTTTTCCCCTCTTGTCAGTTTCCTCACACTTGAGTTAGGATCGATAAGACTTGGGCTCACAAGGCTGCAGGGTGATTCAACAGCACGAGTTAGACACATGGTGAACAAACAAGATTCTTTCCTTTCCTTCCTGATTCACGCACCACGTCCTTGCACATTTTCTGTCTCCTATGATCCTCATCACAGTTGTGTGGGGTGCATGACATAGACGTCATCCTCACTCTGACAGAGCAGGAAATGGAGACCCAGAAACGGGAAGAAACAAGTCCACACTTGGTCCTTGTGCCCAGCAGCCAGCTCTTCCACCTGACCCCTCAGAGTGGAGACCCCAGCTGTGTCTCCTCCACACAACAGTGACAGAGCAAGAAGAGGGCCGTGGAGAATTCAGACTCGGACTCTGGAACCAGGCAGCCTGGGTGGCAAGTTCCATTCCTGTCACCATGATCCATGTGACTCTGGAAAGGTGGCTTAACCTCTGCACCTTAGCTTCCTCATCCATAACATAGGGATCGCCATCAGGTTCAAGGTTGATGCAGGTGATTCTATGTACTGTTTTGCGTGAGTATTAGAAGTCTCCTTTTCTAATCTCCCCACCTATGGCCAGCACCTTTCATGAAGAACACCTGTGTGCTTAGGCGTCTTCTCTCCATGTCTAGGGTCCATGCTCCAAACCTCAGGACAGAAAAAGACATCAGAGAAGCTCACTATCTCCTCTATGGGGTGTCAGATCCCTGGCTATAAGCTCATGGTGGGGGGCAATTTCCACCTCCAAACCAGAAAGACAGACAGCCATGCACTGGAGAGCAGGAAGGAAGCCCTGCGCCTGCTATCCAGGCCGCTGTGCCTTGTAAACTCACCTGGGCGGGACACGGCCCTCCACAGCCAGCTCCTGTATACATTTACATGGGGATGAAGTGGATGAATTGGCCTGATTCACAAATGCTCCTGTTTAATTTGGAGCCAGGAGAGCCAGGCTGCCAAATGGAATGGCTGTCTTAGAAAGCGCTTGTGTATTTTAAAGGAACGTTGTGTGCATTTAACCAGCTATTTCCTCTGTGTTTATTTCCAGTGGCACAAGTGCCCATGGGTGGAAAGTTTGCTGCTTCTCCTTTGTGGTTGCTGGGGCCAGATGACAGGCCCACCTGGAGCCACCAGGCCACGGGTGACTGCGGTGACTTGGAAGTCACCAGAACCCTGTTTCTCCCACTGTTCAGAAGCTGATGGGAGGATGATGGGGCCAGTCTTGTGGAGACAAAGTGCTGGACCGCTTTCTGAAGTCCTAGATGCTTGCTGATACATTTGCTGTGTTTTATCCAAGTCATCATCAATGGGATATTTGCTATTTAGATGTTGCTTTGTGGGTTCGAATCCTTTCACACTCTTCCTCCCCCAATTTCTAGGCACAAGGAAGTCCAGTCTAGTGTGAGGAATCTTGAGTCCAGCCTCTGTTGGAAGAGCCCTTGGTGGGAGACTCGGGTTCAAGTCTTGGGTCTTCTCCCTTGTCTCTGACCCTAAACAAAGTTTAGTCCCTTTGACCTTCAGGTTATTCCTCATCCAGAAAGATGACACCCAACACCCCCACAGCGATGGTTTGCTCTCACCTAGTCCTTTTCACCACCAAATGTTTCCCATCGATATCTCATTTAAACATGCCTAGCCTGGCCACCAAGATCAGGTTGAACATGGACCCCTGGATGTCTCAGTGGTACCATGAGCTGGCATCTGGCTACCCTACCTCTACCATGGAGAGGCCAGAAACCCCTGCGAAATTGGAACGGAGAATCCAGGGAGAAGCCTCCTGCAATCAGATGTGCTGGCTGGGCTGAACAGCCGACCAGGCAGCCCAAGAAGACAGCTTGGTCCCAGATTGGTGGCCTGTGCTGTCAGCATGTTATTGTGCACAGGTGCTGCTTGGCTTGGGGGTGACTCTGCTGCCCTTGGGATTAGGTGCTAATCCTTCACTTCATGTCTGGAAGTTTTAATAAGAACATAGCCATTATGGCAACTTAATTTTATATTCAGAAACTGATTTTTTTCCCCAGTACTGGGGATTGATCTCGGGGCCTTCTCACTGAGTTACTGAGACAGGATTTCACTAAGTCACTGAGTTAAATTGTCAGGGCTGGGCTTAAACTTGTAATCCTCCTGCCTTGGGTCTCCTACGGTTTGGGATTACAGGTGTGCATTACTTTTCCTGGTTAGAAATTGATTTTTAAAGATGATTAATACACAGTGCAAAGATACAAAGTATGACAAAATCTTGCCCTTGTAGGGATGTAAATAAAAATAAGCCCAGTCCTTTCCATGGCAGGGGTCCAGGATTTGGTTGGCATAAAATTGTTGTTCTCAGCAGACGAGAAGTATACACAAAGGGAAAAGCTGGGCTCCCGGATCTCCTCGGGCTCCCTCAGGATGCAGGATTGTGTCACCTGGGGAAGGATGAAAGGGTAGAAGAGAGAATCTTGGACCTCTGAGGGTAGTGAGATCGAGGGCTGCATGTTGTCACACAGCTTTGTCTTTCTCCAATTTTTTTTCTTTCCCTGGTTCTAATCCAATGCTCACTGAGACAAGCAGGGCTGTTGAGGAATGGCAGTCTCAGGTCTTAGAGGCTGGAACTTTTCTGTCAGCCTCTTCACAAAGTGGATAAAGGCTGGAATTCAGATGACCATTCCAGAAGGTTCCGGATCCTTCACAAAAGTCCTCAAGCCATGAGTCAAGTTGAAGCACTCTGTAGAATGTGTGTAGGGGTTAGATGAGAGGCTGGGAACATGCCTGTCTTTTGCTTCCAGAATACCTGTACCACCCTCTCCCCCCACCCTCTGGAGTTGAAGCTTCATTTTATCAACGGGATTGGCTGAGGAACTGCCCCAGAGATTAGTAAGAACACTCTGTCTGGGTGGCCATAGAGGTGTGAACTTGGGGACTATATCTGGTTCCTAGCTCCTTCTCTTTAGGCCATTCCCTTGCTCTGCTTCCCAGCCACCATGAACCAAGCAGCTTTGTTTCACCAGCTGATCTGCCATGATGTTTCTCATTTGGAGCCAGCCAACCATGGACTGAAATCTGACACCATGAGCCAAAAAAGCCTCTCCTCCTCTGAGTCATTGGATCCTGGGTATTACATCCCAGTGATGGTAAAGCTGACAGATACATCCTCTACCCACACCCCACCTGAGCCAAGCATGCAGAGGACCCTGGGTGGATCCTGCTTCTTTAATACCAAGTTTGAGCCTCTGGAAACCAAGTGCCAACCACGTTGCTGCCCCAGCTGCACTGCTGCAGCAGAACTGGTGAGGATGGGTAGAAACTGCAGAAACCAAGATGCAACCAGCTCTCAGCCGCCCTCCCCATACTGCCCAAGTATCCCTCTCCTGTCCTATGGGCCTATATGATGGAAAGCTGGTTCCTCTGTTCCACAGTGAGTAAAAGCAGCACCCAGACAGTTGCAGGAGGAAGCACCTGCATGGAGACTGCCCCCCCACGCCTGGGCTGTTAAGGCTTGAACCCCATGTGAGTGTCTTCCCACTTCTCAGTTCCTTCTCCCTCCTGCAGGGTAACTACTCCTAAATTGTGTGGGCTTTTTTCATCTTTGTCTTACTATCTGGATAGAGATAGATGATAGACATACATACATAGATATGTATAGTGATATGTTATTAAGTTGTGTACAAGTCTTGAAGCTTGTATAAATGGGATTTTTACTACACATATTCTTCAACTTAGGAGATTCATCTGTGTTGATAGGTTGGGAGGAAAGCATCCTTTTTTCAGTACCACATAGTATTCTACTGTGTGAATTTCCCACCATTTATTTCCTCTACCATTGGCGGACATTTAGTTTGTCCCTACTTTTGCTATAACAGTTACGCTATAAATATTTTTATCCTTGGTGCATCCTTGAGTTTCTTAAGGGTGTGTAAATATTAAAGGGGTATTTTGGTAGGCTTGGACTGCTAGAACAAAAGACTACCTACATAGACCAGGTGGCCTAAGCAACAGAAATGATCTCCTCACTGGTCCAGATCTGAAGTCCAGAATCATGGTGCTATTATGATTGTTTCCTGCTGAGGGCCCTCTTCCTGTCTTGTAGACAGCTACTTTCTTCTTGCTTCTCAGGTCAGAGAGAGGGAGAAACAAAGGTTTCTCTTCTTACAAGGCCACTGATCTCAACATGAAGGCCCCAGTCTTGTTAACCCCTGTAATCATTCCCCAGAGGCCCTATATCCTGCTTCTCCTTTGTGGTTGCTGGGGCCAGATGACAAGCCCACCTGGAGCCATGGGTGACAGGCGATTCTGCTCCAACATATGAATTGGAGGGGTGCACAGCTGGGAACATAGCCAAGCAGACTTGCTAGCCCACGGCATTGGCAAGTCTTCAATGCAATGAGATGGTGACAAACCATTGTCTAAAGAAATCGATTCAAAGCCATGCTCTGTAATAGCGTCCAAACACAGCCACCTACTCCTCTGAGAAATGGCTGAGCTACTTCATTCACCCACCTGGAATGAGCCCAGTAGCTGCAGAATCACTGGTCGCTGTGATCCTGGAAGGGGCAGGAACCCCAGAATCATCCTCCCCTCTGCCCCCTTTCAGGAAAAAATGATGTAGGAGGCTGTACTACAGGCTGTGCTGGAGCCCCGGCCCTGTGCATTTGGCACTGTCACTAGCCAGCTTGTGGGACAGGGTGACACCTTCTGATCCCTGGACCTCAGATGCCAAGAGAAAATGCTCCTCGTGGGCTAAGGAAGAGAGTTAAAATTGTCAAGATAGAATCACCCATTTGAGGGATACTCTGATGTCCAGCCAAAGCCAGCAGTGACTGGCACTTCATAGCAAGGGATTTGTTGACAAATGAGAATCAGTGCCTTAGGGTCCAGTCTTTCTCTGCTCAGTCAGTGAGTATTTAGTGGGCAGGAGGTCAGTGCCATATTGGACATATTGATGATACACTGGGGGAAAGCAAGTGAAATCTAACTTCTGAGTTTCCTTTCAAATGGGTGATAACAGACAAAAACCAAAGCAATCCCTTTTCCAATCTGCCTGCCACAAGCAACCTCCAGCCAGATGCAGAATGCTCCCTCCAAGAGTCTAGGACCTTCTGTGACTTGTTTCTCTTTCATGTCCCCTGCCCTGCAAGTGTGTGCGTGCTCATGCAGTGAGGTAGGAGAGAATGGAGGAAAGCAGCCAGCAGGGGGTGCTGTTTGCACCAAGCCCTCTAGGAAAGGTGAAGCTGGAATTTGGAGCACTGAATGGGGAGGAAAAGCCTGAGGGAGCATCCTGGAGGCTGAGCATGGGCTCTGGGCTCCCTTTCTCATTGTCAAAGCCAGCAACAAGGGTCAAGTCTTCTCTACACTCTGTCCACCCTTGCACACCCACCACTCAACCTCTGTATTCATCAAGCTTTCCCATTGCTGGAATGAAATACCCAACATCGACAACTTGAAGAGAAGTTTATTTTGGTTCATAGTTTCCAGTGGGCTCAGTCCATGGCCTGCTGGCTCCAAGGCACAGACAACATGGTAGAAGGGCCTGGTAGGGGAAAGTTGCTTACATCGTGGTGGCCAGGAAACAGAGGCAGGAGGAGCCTGAGACAGGAACAATACCCTTCCACCTCACAACCCAGGGACTCACCCCTTCCTACCAGACCTCACCTCCAACAGTGAGGCTTTTGGGGACATTTTAGATATAAACCATAACAACCTGTGAAAGCGTACCCATTCTTAGGGAACCAAGACGTGTCACCCAACGTTGAGGAAGTCTGGACAACTCAGGACTCTTTCCCCATCTTCAAATCTCTTCCGTCATCACATCCACAGTGTCCCTGTTGACCACCAGCACCAACGATGGGTTCTGAGAAGAAGAGGGAGGAGGTGCGACCTGATTTCCAAACGGCTGTTGCAGGTAGAGAGACAGGGAGAGCCATGAGGAGACTGCTGGGGATGACCCCTGGGACGAAACAGTGGGAATTGTGGGAAGTCTTACCGCAAGTGCACTTTAAAGGCAAGACCAACAGGCTGTCCTGAAAGATTGAACCTGGAGGGTAACAGAAGGAAAGAGCCAGTGTAATTCTGAGGGGTTGTCGGCACCCTGGAGAAGTCAGCTGCTGTTGGGAGAGAAAATTCTCCCCATGAAGTGGGAGGAACTGAACCAAGAATGGGTCTGACAGAGAGGCCATCTTCTGCCTCTGCTCTGTCCTCCCAGCCTTCAGGATTCTCTTTTCGACAAGGGAAATAAGACACACTGATCGCTTACGGAAGCACCAGATGTATTACAAATGAACACTATCCCCAGAGCTCTCCTGTCCAGAAGTCATACATGTTTACTCTGTGGTGGCTGCCAAAATATCTTGGGAATCCTTTTCTAGGAATTTAGTTGATTTATGGTCCATCCAAGAAAATTGGTCTTATCATTGCTCTCCAGAAGGTCAGTTGAAACACTTACTTTATAAATCCAACCTGATTCTTCCAAAACTTGAAGCTTTTTTTTCCCCTAGGATGATCATCTGCAACCATGGGGCATAAGCAAATCTCCAGCTGTGGCCATATCTTTGGAAAATCACCTACGATTCCAGGCACGACGAATTCTCTTCTGCACTCTAGCACACACGGGTGGTGGTGAGGACCCTGGCTCTCTCGAGCTGTTGAGCTCCCCTGCCCTTGACACTGGGCCAAAGGTGGAGTGGGGGCTCTGTGCCAGCCCAGCGCTCACCTGGCTAGAAAGACTCCATATGACCTGGCTTTAAAACAGTGTCACTTTGTCATTTGCAATCCACATGACTTTCTCTTGGGATCTCTTTTTTCATTCCAGAGGTAAGAAAATCCTCTGAACCCAGTTTGCTTGTTTGTGGAAGGCAGGCATTGACAGTATCCTCCTCCCAGGTTGGTTTGGAAGAATTCACTACTGTCCACAAAGAACCTCACACCCTGTGCAGGCAGCTGTTGAACAACCCGGGCATGTTGCTGTCTTCCACCCTCACATGAGAACACGGTTACTAGATCACAGCTCACCTTTTGCTTTTCCTAGAGGAACCCACTTTCTGGCTCCAGCTGGATACTGTGCTGTCTCCTCACCCTTGTCTGGTTTTCCCCGGATCCCCTCTGGGCACCTCTATAGCCTGGCTGGTTGTGGGGTTGGGTGGGTGGCCACCGTGCCACGTCTCCCCTCCTCTGACTGCAGGCAGGTGACCCTCCTGCCTAAGCCAGCACCCTGAATCATCAGCCCTCTGTTTCCTTCACATCTGCCGTGTGGTTCTCAGCTGCTGCCCAGACTTTGTCTCCACAGAACAGCACAGATTGTGCAGCACAAGGTGGGACCCTTGGGCTGGCCCTGCACTGAGGGGCCATGAGACCTGTCCATCAAGCCTCGGAGTCCTCCCTCTCCATCGAGTTTTCCATTACCATGAGAAATGGCCATCAGCTGCTGCCAGGGGACTTTTCTTCCTTCAAGAGAATTGTAGGGACATTTTAACAGGGGCTTCTGAAGTCCATGGTCCATGCTTAAAATCTGATTCACTAGTAGATTGGTTGTGTGAAATGAGAGTTTTGGCCAAAATGTCTTCTAGAAGATATGCACATGCGTACCTGCCTTCCATTTGCTCTTTGGAACACAGGTTAGGGTGGACTCTCAAGGCAGCTTGAGGGTCTCCTCCATCCCCTTTTGCCCTTCTTCCCCTCCTCCCCTCACCCTTAAAGACGATCCACATATCCCAGTTGATCTGCTCATTGTCCAAATTAGATGAGAAAATGGATTTAAAAGCACCTTGCTCTGTGCTTGGTCCCTAATAGTCATTTTATCAATGATTGGTTAAATTATTTTCCATCCCCCACATCTGCACACCAAAACAGTAACGTTGGGATCCCCATTGCTCCCCTGCTGAACCTCCGAGCCCTGAATGTCCTGGTCCTACAGATCCTTTATCGCATCTCAGCACAGCTGCGACAGCCCAGCCGTGCCTGTCTTTCTTTGAGTCTCTGGACTTTGTAGAAACTTCCAACCCCTGGACTTGACAAATGACATTCCGGGTGGAGGGGGTTTTACATTTAATATGCATCATGAGAGACATCAGAGCTATGCTCAGGAGATCAAATGGTTTCTTCAGCTAAGAATGTAAGCATTATCCCTATTAATATCTCTCCAACAAAGGCCCAGGCTCCCCACCCCCAGCAACTCTATGATCTCAGTTTATTAACATTGCTGGCCTCCCCCGCTTGCTGCCCCTGCTGCAGACTGTGTCCCAGCACAATGTCCGCCCTCCACACACACTGCCCTTGGCAAGGTTGCACTGGGGGAAAAAACTGTCATCATAAATCGTTAAATCAAACAACCCAAAGGCATCTCCAGGGAAATAAATTCTGAAGAGTTAAGGAGGGAAAAGGGCGGGCTATGATTATTTTAATCCTATTCCAGATGCTCTGGTCCGCTTCCTAAACAAAATCTGAGTTAAATGTGAGCCTCAGTCAAAGAGAAGATAGCTACATGCAGTGTAGACAGTGTTAGGCAAATAAGTGCTCAGTTAATGTTTATGTAAAAAATAAAATAGTGTAAATGCACAACAGCTCTGTGGACTCAGGCCTGGCCAGACAAGATGACTCACTGTGACAGAGTTCCCCACAGAGTCCCCACCTAGTGACCCGGGTGCCCTACTTTTCAAAAGCACCTTCATACTTATTAGCTAGTTTGACTCGGGCAACAATCAAAACTTGCACTTGGCCTTGGAAGAATGCACTTCTGCAAAAGCCTCAAAGAATGGACTGAGGCAGACACACACACAGAAGAAAAGCTCTTCTCACAAGAATTTTGAGCCACAGATGTCAAACCCTCTGTGAGTATACAAAGGCAGGCTGATTCTTTGAGATTTTTAATTCATTTCAGTTTTGGTAAACTCTTCTTTACCACCCCTCAAAAGTGTCACTGAGGGGAGGATGGACACTTTGGCTCCAAAGGACAAAAGGTGAATGTAAGACCCACAGAAACTCCCTGGTGTTCAGCCACTCCCATCCCAAAACCCAATAACAAAATCCTGGGCTCCCTGGGCTTCCTCTGACGCATTTATGAGGTAGGAAGAATGTGGTTGGAGCAAACCTCATGCCAGAATTCTTGGGCGAGTAAAAGTAGACAAAAGGAGAAAGATCTTAGAAGATCAGAAATGGAAAAACAGCAGTAGGGGAAGGACAGATGGCGTGGGAAGAGCCAGAGTGCTCGGTGCCAAAATGGCACCAGGTGACAGGAGTAGGAACGCTCAGGTCTTCTTGGTCCTGCCCTGTGGTGGGAGACAGCCCACTGTGGTACACTGTGTCCAAATCCTCTGCTCTCGGGAAGACCCTTCAGGAAGACCCCAAAGCTGGAGGGAGGCCACTAGCTGAGTGATCAGGAGCTGCACCCTGCCTCCCACCTCCCCCACTCCCTTCCAGGCCCGGGGTTCACACCTCTCCCTCCCGGAAGCCCTGTCCAAAGCAAGCAGGTGCTGCAAAGCAAGCAGGTGCTGGAGTCTGGCACAAAGAGGTGCTGCCCAGATGTGGCCTTCCACTCCCAAGACCCTCCAGAGCCAGGGGCTTCCTCACTGTTTGCAGTCTGCGTTTTTCTCAAATTCTGCTTCGTCACTCTGGGTTTCCTCCCACAGGCCTCGCTGTGGCCCGGCCCAGCCCTCCAGGAGCCTTGGAAAGCCACACATGTGCTGGGAAGCAAACGGTTCTTCCTCCTCCATCCCCTGCTAGTAGAGGTGGTGCCCAGGGGACTGCAGCCCTTGGGGATGGCGGGGGCTCCTGACCCACATGCCAGCTCTGGACCCTGAGGTCCCCCAGCTCTGCCCCGCTCAAAAGAAGCCAACCCTAGGGTCTGTCCTCTACTGCCATGCTGTGTGCCGTGGGCACATCCCTTGCTATCCTAGTTATTCAGTGGCACCTGATCGAGAAACTACTGTCCCACTGGCCAAGCACTATGCCTTGAACTCTGCTGTCCAACAGGTCACCTCTAGACACGTGCAACTGTGCAAATTTAAATGAGTCAAATTTAAGATTCAGTTTCTTGCCAGGAATAAAGGTGCATGCCTAGGACCTCGGCACTCTGGGAGGCTGAGGCAGGAGGACTGTAAAAGCCTAGGTGACTTCACAATTTATGGGGAACCTGTCTTCAAAAAAAATTTTTTTACAGGGCTGGAGATGTATCTCGGAGCAAAAGCCCTGGCTTCAATGCCTAGTACTGAAGAAAAATCTGTCAGTGGTAGTGAACACTCTCAGGTGCTAAAGAGTCACCTGTGGCTATTACAGATGTATAGGAGGTCACGTCTGTCACCGGCGGAAGTCCTGCTGGAGAGACTGCCTGTTAAGTGACCCTAGCAGGAAAGGTTCAAGCTATGGGTAGAATGGGACTCTCATGTCTCTACCTTGATTTATGGTCTGTGGGCCCCCAAAACCCAGAGAAGACCAATTCTGGTCCCACCCGAGAAAGAGTCTAAAGGAGCAGCTCCTCCCTAGACTGGCCCTGAGGTCTCCATGACCTGAACCTGCTCAGCCAGACTGCTGATGAATTCCCCTGTCACTGTGGGGTCAGGAGAAGAGTCCTTCTCTGGGTGTAGGTGGTGAGCAGCTTCCGGCTGCCTGGCTGACCCCTAAACCCTCTCTCTCTTGGCCTCCGTTCCACCTGTCTTCAGCTCATGCACCCCCCTGGGTGTATGTCTCATTTTTCTCTTGGGTGTGTATGCATTCAGAGAAGATTGCATTTGGAGACTTTTCCCCCATAGTCCAGGGAGTAGAAGACAGGCAGGGGCGTCGCCTTGGCCAACCACAGCGCCTGTGCTATGTAGAAGAGGGGAGAGCTGCAGCCCAGCACCGACTCGGTTCTGTTCGCCACCCTGGAGTCCAGCAGAGGGGGCTGTTGGACAGAGACGCGTTCTAGGCTGGGCTTTGGCGGGGTGTGGCTGGTCACAGCTTCAGAGGGGAGGCCAAGTGTCTGCCCATCCTCAGGGCACCCCAAACCTCTCCCTACATGCAGGGACCACCCCCCCCGAAGACCACCTCTAACAGCTCTGGACAGGCACAGGAAAGCCCCTAGTACTCTGCATCTAACCCTAATGAACTTTCCCTTTCCATTTCTAAATTACAAAATCAAAGCTATTTTCTCAGGTGCCTTATTTCGCAGCTGTCAAAAGCTGGATTCTGGCAAAGTTAACAAGCTTGGAGCAGCTCAGGGTCCCGGGTGGGTTTCCCCTCTTCTGCCTCCCTCTCTCCTCTCAGAGCAAACTGTGAGGTTCCCCGAGAGCAAAGCAGTGCTCTTCCCTCAATAAAGTACGTTTGTAAGGAAACAGAAATGTGCCTTCTGTTCCTTGCCTAATTGTTTTATTGTCCTCCTCACTTTGACAAGGGCACTCTTAAATCCTCCTCGTGGATAAAAGCTGATGGGCAGCCAGGGTCCATGATCTTTCTCCACTTCCTGAGAGGGAGGCCTACCCGGGCTCAGCACAGCTAAGGGCAGTGTTCCTTGGAATTGCAGCTCCTGTGATCTCTCCTCTAGTTCTCTGGAGGTAATGTGCGAGCAAAATGTGCAGAAAAAACCTCGCTGTGTGCACCCACTGTGGGAGGTGCAGGGCGTGCCAGGGGGCCTGTCTTTTGCAGTTTCACACCAGGTTCTGAGCAAGGGCTCTCGTCCGTTATTGTCCCCTTGGTGGCACCAGGGACTCAGGGTTGCAGAATCTTGGCCTGGATGCAGCTCACCAAATCGCCCCATGCCAGCCTTTCTTGCCCCAGCATTGGGAGGAGCGGGTAGTGGGGAGCTGAGCATGGAGACCCCCGGCCATCACACCTTGGGTGGAAACCAGAGGCACCTGTCCTACAGGGAAAGGCAGGTGAGGTAGCTGGGTCACCGTGTCCAAGCAAGCAAAGAAATCGTGTTGTAGACAGGGGGGCCTCACTCCCCAAGGTGGTTCTCCAAGGCTGAATAGACAAAGGTACAAGAAATGGGGAAATTCTCAAGCAAAATAAGGTGTATTTGCAGAAGGTCTACCTGAGTGAGAATTCTCAAAATATTTTTTAAAGCTCTGAACTGTTTGGAGAATGCAGCCACAGAGTATACAGAAATCAATGCCTGTGTTCATTCACAGAGTGGAGGTGGCAAAGCATCCGGGCTTTGGGGCTGGACATTGGTTCAAATCCCAGCCCCACGCCTTGTGCCAGGATCACCTCTGACAAGTCACTGAGACCTACAGGACCTCCGTCTTCTCGTCTGTACAGGATGACGGTGCCCACTTTTCTTTTTCTAGGCTTCGTGGAAGGGGAAAGTGAAACACTGTAAAAGCTGTGTGCTCCCAGCCTGGTGTAGAGCAAGCCCTCACTCACACGCTAGCCCCTGCCAGCACGTGGCTCATGAAACCATAGCGCAGTCTTCTTCAGAGTTTGGAGATAGGAATGGAAAAACCATGTTCTCTCTC